CACCCCACCCCACGCCTCCCACCTGGTACACGGTGCGCGCAAAGAGGAAGAGGATGAGGAGTGCGAGGAGCCAGAGCGGGTTGTACAGCACCGCCATCATCTCGTTGAACCCCAGCACCGCCATGGCCAGCAGCGCCCACAGCGGCGGCAGCCGGTTCTGCGCCGCGCGGTTGGCCTCCTGCGTGGCCAGCGCCTGCTGCACCGAGAAGGTGGAATCCGACATGAAGCTGCGCCAGGTGGCGCGCGCCTGGGCGGGGCTGAGCAGCACATCCTCCTCGCCAACCCCCGGCCACTCCGCCGCCGACAGCAGGTCAAAGGTGGAGGCCTCGGCCGCGCCGCCACGCCGGCCGGCCAGCCCGCCGCCCGCAGCGCCGCCGCCGCCGGCCGCGTCGTCCGCCAGGCGCAGCACGGCGGCCTCGGCGGCCGCGGGCCCCGCGCCGCCGCCGCCGCCGCGCCCGTCCCTCACAAAGCACAGCTGCGCCAGGAGGTGTGCGGCTGCGCGGCGCCCCGCCGCCGTCACCGCCGTCACGTCCACAGACGGCTGCCAGGTGCGCGGCATGCCGTGCTCGTCCCGCTGGAACACCTCGTTGAAGCGGTCCTTGACGCGGCTCAGCGCCGTGTTGGCGGCCTCGTGGGCGTGCACCAGCAGCTGGGCGCGCGCCGCGGCCGCCGCCGCCGCATGCACCTCCTCCACCTCCTCCACCCGAAGCCCATACCCCTCCACCGCCGCATCCAGCGCCGCGCACGCCTTGGCAGCCGCCTTGCTCACCACCTGCAGGGCACGGCGTGGGCCAGGGGGAGCCAGGGCAGGCGTGGCGTCAGCGCACCACTCACTGCTGCTGGGTCTGCCGCCGCTTCCTCTGCTCTGCACGCGGCACGCCCACCAGCCAGCCAACTTCCTTGCTCGCCGCCGGAGCTGCCGGGGCGCACCTTGGAGAGGCGCGGCCACAGGTCGGCGGGCGGCGACTCGAGGAGGGGGATGGCGGCGGCGGTGACGTCGCGGCGCGCCGCCTTCTGCGCCGCCTCCAGCGCCTGCCCCACATGCTCCAGCCTGGGGGGATGACGGGCAGCAGCCAGCCAGCCGGGCTGTCGGCATCCCGCAGGCAGGTGGTACGCAGGCAGGCAGGAGGGCAGGCAGGACAAGCACGCACGCAAGGCTCACCACCACAGTTGCCTCCTCCCCTCCCGCTGCCCGGCCCCGCCACCCAGGCGGGCAGCCGCCCCGCGCCACCCACCCCACCCCCAGCCCCGCCCACCTGGCGGCATGCGTGTGCGCGGCGATGTCTCGCTCCAGCCCCGCCCGCGCGGGCCCCGCCTCCCACTCTGTGTCTGGCACCACCACCTCCGCCAGCTGGCTGTCAAACTGCTCCAGCGCCTCCGCAGCAAACCTGCACGCATGCGCACGCGCACGCGCGCGTGTGTGTTGAGGCGAGGCAAGGTGAGGGCCGAGAGGGAGGGCAGACAACTGCCGACCCGGCAGGGCGCCGGGGAGCGTGGGGAGGGGGCGGCGGCTGCCCGGCTGCACACGGCGCGGCTGCCGCAGGCCGCCGCCCGCCGCCCCCCCA